CCTGGAACAACGCACCTTCGGGCAGCTAACCCCTTCCTGTGAGGAGAGTGTCTGCTCACTTGCAGGCTGTTGCATCTTCATTTCTTTGGAGTTAGTAATGAGATATTATCGTGTTTCTTTGATAGTGTTGTGTTTCCTTGATTTTTAATTTTCCTTGAAGTCTTACATTGATTTATTGATGTTTTTGCATTTGAAGAAGCAGTCATCTTCTCCAGTTTTTACTGATGTCTTCATCAGAAAAACAACTTCACAGAACCACCGAGCTAGGGATTGTTAAGCTCCCTCAGACTTTTTTCTGTAGACACGTCAGTTCCACACCTCTTGTATCTCCTGGATACAAGATGGTGGTGTGGGGGGACTCGTCTATGTTTTCTCTTGATCCTGCAAAGCCAGGCCAAGTACTGAGAGCTAACATTTGTTTTCTGTAGGGCAATGGCCTGAACTCAAGTTGTGTGACTTTTCCGATCCCATGGAGTCGAGCTGTCTGTATATGACATTTGTGCTCACTGTCCATGTGATGCACGTGGGGAGCCAGCCTGGAGGTGTGGTGAGATGTGTGGAGTGTCTGGAGTGCCCAGAGGCCAGCTGGTGGGTGGTGGTGGTCCATACACGGTCCCCCAAGTGGCTAACGAATGGGCATCCTGATGGCGTCCACGGCATGGCTGACAGATTCTGCAGCCTCTGTTTCCTGCCCCCAGCCCTCCCAACACTCAGCCATGCTGACCGCTCAGCACTCGGTGGGGCGAGAGTAGAGGGGCCTCCTGGTCAGTGTCCTGTAGGAAGGAAGGAGCTGGACGCTCACTCATTGTGCTCACCTCCCCCATGGGAGGAACCAAGGGCTGAGGGACCTTTCTCGGCACTGAGCTGCGTCACCTCGGGAGAGGGTGACACGGGTAAAGTAAAATCGCCCTGACTCTCTTCTGTCTAGTTACCCTTGGGTTTCATGATGCAGCAGAGTGCTGGGACTTCCACGCTTGACTCCCCAACGTCCACGAGGTACGTGTGTGGTCGACGTCCAGATCAGTGCTTCTGTGGGGTGATGGTCGAGAGCTCCTCTCTCACTGCCCTGTGGGGTGTTAGATTCAGGTTACCCCCCTCGTTGGCAGTGAGGACCCATCACCAGTGGTGAGCGGAGAGCAGATTACCCCAGCGAGGCGGCAATGAAGTGATGAAACCTTTGTCTCTGCCTGAGTCACAGTCTCAGTGGGTTGGGTGAGATGGAGCAGTCCTTGCCCTGACCTGGGCCATCTACTCTGTGGCTGGGAACAGGCAGGTGCTGTGATGAAGATTCCGTAGAACTAAATAGAGAATGTGGAATTCACCAGAGAATGGCATTTTAGGGTTTTTTTTTTAGAGGTTTAGGGTACATATGCTCACCAGAGAGAGGAAGAGACAGAGACAGTGAGAGGGAAAGTGGGACTCATTCCCCTGGAGGGAATGTTCATACTGCCATCTTTTCTACTCCATCCTTCTGGGATCCTGGGCATGCATGGACATGCACCTAGAGAGAGTTTCAAGCCACCAGGTCTGGGACTCAAACCATGGTCAGCCATGTGGGAGTCCAGCAACGTAGCCACTATGCCATCTGCTGGCCCGTGGGTATTTTGTTTTTGACATTCAGCAGCATCCCACTCACCATAGTCCCTCCCAGCTCCTTAGAAGAGCGAGGCAGGAGGACCATAACATAGTGTGGTTCTGTCTGGACACAGGAATGTGTTAGAGCTCTGCCTACTTACACGTCTTTTTCTGCTTGTTTTGCTACAGGGCATGTGTGCTCATCAGAGAGAGGCAGAGAGAGAGAGAGAGAGAGAAGTCACCGCCCCTTCCCAGGGGGATGGCCACACCGTAATCCCTCCCCTTCCAGTCTCCTTTGGGATTTTAGGCGTGTATGCAAACAGACCCAGTGTGATTTGCAAGCTGTTAGGTCTGGGACTTGAACCACGAAGTTGGCCATGTGGGATCCAGTGCCTTAATCTCCAAACCACTTGTCGGCCCTATCTAATATTTAATCAATATTTTGACAAATATTAAATCAATAATTTAAATATTCAGGTTAGGACCAGCAGACAGTATAGTGGCTACATCACTGAATTCCCATATGGCAGATGGTGGTTCAAGTCAAGGACCCAGTGGCTTGAAAATCACAGCGAGCACATGTATGTGCACACCCAAGATCCCAGGGGGAGAAGGGATTGCCATACGGCCATTGCCCCTGGGGGATGATTTCTTACTTTCCCTCTCACTGTGTCTGTCTCTCTTTCTCTCTCCAGCGAGTGTACATGCCCTAAGGTAAAAACCTCTAAAAAATAAAATAAAATAACTAAATAAATATTCAAGTTAGAGAAATTTCTGAAAGGATAATAGAATGAGAGTAGGTTTGCCTTATTCTTCCCAAAGTCTGCAGAAATGAACAAAAAAACAAATATAGAGGAAAAAAGCACCCATAATGAAACTAGCAAACAAACTTCCATCACAGACTGGAATGTAGCCTAGAAGCAATATCATTTAGAGCAAATTAGCTGGAGAAAGATGTTCAGAGCTTGCCGGGGGTGGTTGAGACTCGTACACAGGAAGGCGACACGGGTGATCAGAAACAAAAATTAGACTAAGACCTCAATGCCTCTTAGCATGTTCTCAGCCGGCTACAGCCAGAGTCAGCTCCAGACTGCAGCGCTAGCGGCCACCAAACACACATATTTATTGAGGGATGTCTTACAGGAGTAGGGGGGGTGAGGGGGAAATAAAAGATTTACTCTATGAAACAGGGAATTCAAAGCACAGGAACAGTGATCATAAAACATGATGTCTGTCTTGTTTGAACAGGTGAAGCCAAACACAGTTCTCAGAACGAAGGAATCTATTTGTCTGGTGCATTTTCTTCTTCAGTCTTGATTACCGGACAGGGTCTTTTGAAGAGGGGGCTTGTAGGAAGCTTGGTAACTTCAGTCCCGGGCCAGGGCAGCAGCATTGTCGGTTACAAAGGCCTAGACAGAAATCTTGTCTTGTTACGTAAAGACACAGTTAATATATGGACTATCTATATATTACAGCTAAAGAGGGTGAGTCTATTGCCCATATGGGAAAGGAAGATGATCTTGTAACTCAGGAGACAACACAGGATGTTTTATTAGCAGTTTTTCATAGTCAACAGCACATAGATGAGAAGCTCTTTGTAGTTAAAAACTACCTGTTGCTTGCCTGAATTAGATAAGACTTCCAGCTAAGATAGTTACTCTTCCCCCTGGAGCCTTCAGGTGTGTTTATTCTTTCGCTGTTAGCCAGATCTGTCCTTCCTCTATTAACCCACAGGTTCCTATATTTATTTGTTGAATTCTTAGTCTGTTAATCAGTGAATTCTTGTGCTTTATCTTTAAGTCCCTGTCATGGGTGGATATGCTAAGTTGGCCTAACATAAGTTAACTTTGGCCTGCAGCCTTAACAAGGGGTATTTATGTAAACTAGCCTTAAACTAACTTAGTCTACATATGTTACTAATGCTAATTTGGCTTATATTAACTTAACCTTAACATATGTTAATTTTGGCTTAAAACACACAGGTGGGGGAGTCTCAAACTTCCTGGCCCTCTCCTGTCATCTTAGGAAACCACATTTCTACAAGATCACTAATTGGCTTTATTGCAATGGTTGTGAGTGATATTTTACCCTTGCAGGGTGCCGTAATAACAGTAAAGCTCACGGCAGAGAAATTGAATACCGGCCAGTACAGCGACACAAGGGGGCTCGTAAACCTTGGCCTTGCCTCGCAGTTTCTTCCCAGTCCAGGCCTTGCCTTAGGGATGGGAGGCAGCCTCTTTACCAGCTTGTGTTGTCTGCATGGCCCCCCCTCATCTGACTCCTACATCCTCCGATACCAGGAACAGGGCGGATTCCGGAATGTAACTCGGAGCCAAAAGGAGCCGAACTTGTGACTTTACCCTGACGCGGAAGGATTCAGCCTATGGGCAGATCAAGGCAGACAGGGAGAACCTGGGCGGGGGCACAGTTTTACTCCCAGCAGTGACAAGGGAGATGAGGTCAAAAGGAAACCAGGTGGGGCCGCAGGTGGCATGGAGGCTAAGGCGACGACCTCACAGGGGACCGAGCAGTTTGTCTCAGAGCCTGTGGTGGGAGACCGGTGGCAGGGCCCATGAGCACCGCTGTCTACCGTCCTGAGGGGAGACTGCAGAGGAGGGACGGCCCGGCCAGGCCCCTCGGGAGTGACCGCTCACGTCTTCTCTTTACCTCTGCTTTTCCTTGCCTCTCCCAGTGAGTGTGCGTGCCCTACAGCAAATAAGCAAGCAAGCAAAAATTAGGCCACATGTCCCCAAATCTCCATTCTCTGACCTAGTCCTAGCCTAGGATAACCTTCAGAGTGGCTGAGATCCCAAGAAAGAACGCTCCCAGATCAGTAGGTTTATGCAACAGTGGGTGGTCCGGTTTGTAGGAAAATAATTTATATTAAGGATGCCTGCTAGCTATTTCCCAGCTGACTCTACACCCCTACGCTTCAAAGATCAACCAGAGACTAACAGATGAATATTAGTATAAAAATCCTGGGAACCAGCAGTTAGCGTAATGGCTATGTCGCTGGACTCCCACGTTGTCGACCGCGGTTCACGTCCCGGACCCGGTGGCTTAAAACTCACGCCGGGTGCGTGTGCGTCCGTGCCCAAGATCCCAAGAGGAGAATGGAGGAGAAGGGATTGTGGCATGACCATCCCCCCTGGGGGGTGATTTCTCGCTTTCTGTCTCTATGTCTCTCTCTGTCTGTCTGGCAAGCGCACGCGCCCTATAGCAAAAACCTCTCCAAAAAAAAAAAAAAAATCCTAAACAAAATATTAGAAAACAGAATCCCCAGAGAACATTACAGAAGAGTATCTTATGTCCAGGTGAGCTATCCAGAAATGCAAGGGTGACTCAGCACAGGGAAATAAAGAAACAGAAGACATTAAATGACAGCACGGAGGAGCAATAAACATTCTGTAATGTCGCTGGCTGTGCTTCTTCCAAAGTCAGTGCCCTGGAGGAAAACGAGAGACAGTCCCAGATAAACGCGAGTGAAGAGGCAGAACAACAACATGCTGTGTGACACTTGATTAAATCCCGCTTTAAGGGGGGCACCAGCTGGCGTGGTGGTTAAGGGCGCTGGACTCCCACATGGGCGACCGTGGTTTGAGTCCCGGACCTGGCAGTTTGCTTTCACACTTTCCATCTCTCTCTCACTCTATCTCTCTATAGCAAAATTAAAATAAATAAAGTTAAATAAAATAATTCTTTTTTTAAAAAAAATCCTACTTTAAGAAAAAAAGTATGAAATAGATTTTTTTGAGATGATTATAAAACAGCAACTATTTATGGACCTTATGTATTAATAAAAAAGTTCTGGGGGAACCAGCAGTTAGCGTAATGGCTATGTCGCTGGACTCCCATGTAGTTGACCGTGGTTCGCGTCCCGGACCCGGTGGCTTAAAACTCACGCCGGGCGCATGTGCGTGCGTGCCCAAGATCCCGAGAGGAGAATGGAGGAGAAGGGATTGTGGCGTGACCATCCCCCCTGGGGGGTGATTTCTCACTTTCTGTCTCTATGTCTCTCTCTGTCTGTTTGGCAAGTGCACGTACCCTATAGCAAAAACCTCTCCAAAAAAAAAAAAAAAGTTCTGTAAAGAAATGTTTTACTTTAGAAGTTGCATGCTTGAAGTATTTAGGGGCAAAGTATTATAATGTTTGCGTCTTACTTTCAGATGGGTCACACATATGCAACAGAAGGATGGGGAGACCGCCATCTTCCAGTAATTCACCAAAATGACGAACACCAGGGAGCGGGGAGGCACCCGTGTGTGTTCTCCAGGCCTTTTAGGAAACATGGAGTGGTTCCTTGGCAACATCTATGCGAATCTACAAGAAGGGGATATTGTAGACATCAGGGGAATGGGGACTGCTCAAAAAGGAGAAGGGACTATAGCGCGGCCATCTCCCCAGGGGGTGATTTCTCGCTTTCTGTCTCTCTTCTCTGTCTCTAATGTGACCATGGCACACCTGGAAAAGTCTACACTGTCACCCGGCATGCTGTGGGCATCGTTGTGAACAAACAAGTTAAGGGCAAGAGTCTTGCCAAGAGAATCAATGTGCGTATT